GTACATACACAGTAACAATGTCCAGGTTGAACTGTACTGTTTAGCTAGATAACTACTACTGACTACACGTAAACTGGCGAGCGGCAGAAGGGGGCGCTGTGTTCACTCCAGGGAAAAGAGGATGCTGAATCTAATCACAGAAAATAGAATCCCAGGAATCAAAGAAACTGGGGAATCCAAGAATTCATAGAAAAAAGGGTGCCAATTGCTAACATTCTTGCAGCTATGACCACACTGTACTATCACTGCTAAAATCACATCGCATAGAGTACTATTTACAAAGAATTTATGAAGTATGCTATACACCTTTAAAGAAGCTTTTCATATACACATATTCAGTAGGTACTATTTAAAATCATGTTTTAATGTTGCTTTTTCACCTGAAGCGAACATAGCAGCATTACTTTACATAAAACCAGCAACCTGCCCCTATGGAGTTGCATCCCAATAATTTCCTTCAATATTCCATATTACTTCCAAATCAATTTGGATTATTCTAATATGAATGACATCTAATATTAAAAAGAAATAACTGACTTTAATGAAGAAAGTATTGTGCAAGCATGACATAAGATAAAGTAAGCAGTACAATGCTGGGCCACGCTAGTCCATTGGGATACTATGAATCATGCCTATTTAATCTTAAATTCTATTTGGTGATCTAGAAAATGTGATGCTGTTAAAAATGTCACACTTATTATTTTACCTTTGAGCACCATTCTATGAGAGTCACAATAGCATAGCTAATTATTACTTTATTTATACTTTCCCTTTTTCTTTTCAATTTTACATCTTTAACTTTGGTGCCAAAGACACCTCTTGAAAAATCAGATTTTATGCCATAATAATTCTGTTACACATAAATTAACTTTTAATATTCATACTATGAATTTAGTACTACTATGGTACTTTATATTGTTATGTATATGAAGGATGAGGCTAACAAAAACATGCTTGAAGTCAAAATTATACAGCTTGACAATATTAACGGTGCCATGTCATCCATACCTGAGGCTGCAAGCATCGTTAAATTACATACCAATCTAAATATAATAAAGGTAAACTGCAAGAGGTTCAGGCTCACATATGACTCTGAAACTTTGGTTTTCTTATTGAGTCGGCTCAATATTCAGGTACAGCTAAACTGTAACTACAGCTTTTATGTATGAAGGTGTAAGAAACTGTATGCAACACAACTTTTCATCAGGAAACGATTGTCCAATCCACTTCTTTAACTGTAGACTAGTTTACTTTCAATCTAATAATAAACCTACACAGTAAATGGGTGAGAGGAAGAAAGTGATAAAAAATAAAAATAAATAAAAATCAGATATTGAAACAAATAATAAACTTAAATCTAACTATGGCAGTGATCCTGACTAAAAGACTGGTAGAATGAACACTAGGCAGCATCAAACAACCTTTAACATTAAATTCCTATGAAACTCAGCTAATCATCTCATCAGCCAAGTCATTTCATATAAAGCATCAGATAGTCAAGAACGCCCATCAAACTGACATGTTTGTAGTAAGAGAGGAAAGAAAAAAGGAAGTTAAACTGATGCTGTCAAACAATATGAAAGTTAAATTATCTTAAACACAAAATAAAATAAATAGATTATTCACAAAACATTTTGCCACTATAATGTGCACCACTGTTTTCTATTGCAGAGTTAATCTAAGCCTAATGGAATATGGAACACTAAGTCTGACTGATTTTTTCCTCTTCCATGTGCAACTGCTGTAATAAGATGTAATACATGGTGAGAAATAACATGATTTTTTTTGTTGGCCTTTATGCGACACATTATGTAAATCCAATTTTTTGAAACTTCAATATCAGTGTCATACAGGATATATGTATATATATATATATATTCATAACTTTTTTTTACTGGCTACTGCAAAAGAAAATCAAATCCTCATATATGATTTGTTATGTATAGGGATGTTTCACGAATAATCTCTGCACACAAAATAACACGGAGAACAATGTCACTGGTAAGATCAGTATTTTTCTTTTTTAGATAATAGCATTCTGTGAAAAAAATAGCTCAAAAGTTATGAAACAAGGTACATATTGCTTAAAATTTGCATAACTATAGCTTAAGGATATAAAAGAAAGTTGGAGAGAGAGAGAGAGAGAGAGAGAGAGAGAGAGAGAAGAGAGAAGAGAGAGAGAGAGATGAGAGAGAGAGAGAGAGAGAGAGAGAGAGAGAGAGAGAGAGAGAGAGAGAGAGAGAGAGAGAGAGAGAGAGAGAGAGGGAGGGAGGGGAGAGGAGGGAGAGGAGGGAGAGAGAGAAGAGAGAGAGAGAGAGAGAGAGAGAGAGAGAGAGAGAGAGAGAGAGAGAGAGAGAGAGAGAGAGAGAGAGAGAGAGAGAGAGAGAGGAGAGAGAGAGAAGAGAGAAAGAGATAGAGAGAGAGAGAGAGAGAGAGAGAGAGAGAGAGAGAGAGAGAGAGAGAGAGAGAGAAGAGAGAGAGAGAGAGAGAGAGAGAGAGAGAGAGAGAGAGAGAGAGAGAGAGAGAGAGAGAGAGAGAGAGAGAGAAAGAATACTCTTTCAGGGCAGGTTATTTCCTCCATATTTCTGAACTGAACTGGCACTGACTTCAACTTCACTATGAGGAACAAATCCTGACCTTGGAATAATAAGACCTGTTATGACTTCTGCTGTGATGAGTAGTCAAACCACCGGGGTATATAAGTTTGAAATCATAATTTCTCTTATAAATCATGGAATTTTCAAGAAGGAAGAGATAAAACAGTAACACTCATGACTTAGCAAAAAATAGAATTCATTGTGATAAATATATTGTTTTAGATAATTAGAAGATGCATTATTTTACCTTGATTTTTGGATTACTTTTAAGTATTATTTTATATAGCATTCCTGGATAATGTAGCTGCAGTTACTTCTTAAATTTAAGATTAGTTTCAAAGGTACATTCAGTGCATAAAACAGAAAATTTAAATATAAATTGAATTTATACCATAAGTGTACTCTAGAAATTAAGTGAGACAGAGATATAAATAAATATAAGGAAAAGTATAAATGCATGAAAATAAAATTGCCATATGGATTTGATCACACGATCTCTAATAATACCTTCAGATGAAAGACATCAATTGTAATAATAATGCCACCTACGCTTTGTAACTCAATTAAGTCTTCCAAATTAATATACATGGCAAAGTTTCATAAACTACAGAAAACCGGGCATTACATAAAACAATGTAATATTAAATACAAGTATCAAACATATGAAAAGTTCACTCAGCATAATCTGAAATAAGAATTGATAAAGAGAAAAAGTGAGGCATCTGAATTATACTTAGTGAGTCATAAAATTGAAACTTTACAATTATGTACATTTGAAACATAGACATCAGGTATAAAGCATTTAGAATTAAATGAAATAATCAATTTCAAACAAAGAAAGTGACGTGGAAAATTTAAGATAAACAGATTAAGTCTCAGCATTTCAAGATAATGGGAAGGAAAGAGATAGAGAGGGAGAATGGGAAAATGGGAAGATGGGAGGTAGTTAAGAGCAGGGAGTACAGTGAGGAAAAGGAAGAGAGAGTAAACACACACACACATACTCTCACACACACACACAATATGAATACGCTTACATGCACACATACTTTTATCTGAATATTAACAAACCAAAGAGTATATAAATATATAAAGGAAGGAAAACTGTTTGATTAAAATTCAATTGCAAGACCTATAAAATGATAAGATGTTGAGAGCCTGGATGTTCCCAAGAGTGAAGATGATACAGTGGAGACAGGGAAATTGTGCTTCATACTTTGCTTGAACGTGTCATGTGGGCATTGTAGTTATCACATGAAAGGGCTTCTCTAACTACAATACAAAGTTAAGAGAATTTTCGAAACAGAGATCCAATAGGAATATATAAAATTCAACAATTTGCACAGTTCTCAAGACGCAGCAATTGCAGCGTCACTAGAGTGAGTATTACTGGTTGTGGCGGCGGCGCCTGGCCTGCCTTGCCCGTCCCTCCACGTTTGAAAGACTCATCACTGAACTTCACAAAAAACACATAATCTCACTATTATGGAGATAAATATTTCAGGTCACTAATTCATATACATAAACACACACACATATATATGTATGTATGTATGTATGTATGTATGTATATATGTATATATATATATATGTATGTAAATATATGTATGTATGTATATATATATATATATCATATATATATATATATACGTACATACAAATATATACATACACATATACACATATACATACATACACACTACTGTATCTCCAATTTTCAGTTCCTGCTAGCACACACTCTCAAGCTCACGGCTGCGTCGGCGACGTGCTTGTTTTCTTCTATATTCATTAAACTCCTGCTTCATGGCAGCAACCCGTGCCTCCATTGACTCATGGCGCCGCCGCCCACCTGACCCGTAGATCTCAGAGTCGCTGAGGCCACGCTCGCCTGATGGAATACGGGTCCTTGACCACTCTGCTGCGGCATCCTCCCCAGGTGTTGGACTAAGCACCGTATCAAACTCATAATGGTCATCCACACTAACATCTAGTGGCTGCTGTGGAGAAACAGGTATGGTAATTGGTGGAGGGCGTGGAGAAACTCGGACTGAGGTGCCTGAGTCTACACTGGCATCTAAACCGGAAGACCCTAATCTCTGTCGTCTTCCTATCATACCTGTTTTTATGCTTGACAGCCGAGGTCCTATTATAGCAGGCATTCGGAACTGAGGCAAGACCTGTCGTGCAGCCCACTCCTCATATGGTGGTGGTTGTCGTGGTCGAACCAGTGGTGCAGGACGACTTCGAGGAGCTGCCAAGAGCCATGAAGGTGGGGCTTGTGGTGATATATCAGTAGCTTCTGCTGTCTCGGTAACCTCTGAAGCCTCTAGACGAGATGAATCAAGCCCTAATGCTGACAATGACTGTCCTGACTGTGATGAGCTTTGCTGCTGGGATGTATTT